TTGTACAAAAAGCCCGCACTAACATAATGTAGGTGAAGAAACTTAGCGGGATTCCCGCCTGGAAATTTCCATATGGTAAAATTACAGGATGAACATACCACAAGATTGTGAGGAATTCAACGCAAGAATGAATATGTTTTGACATATTGTCTTGTGTTTAGTCAAAGTTTAGCATCGCTTGGAGTAAGGAAACTCGGTATGTCTTCAATTGTGACAAGTATTCTCAGTTCAACAGTTGGTTTATTATGGAATAAGGTCAGAGACTCGGCGTCAGACAAACTCAAAGACGGCGATGTAACTGATGCAGAAATTCGTAAGATTGTCGTACGAGAGTTAACTGATATCAAGTCTAAAATCGATGGCCTTTCCCGATCAACTTTACTCGCCAGTTACGATTTCCTTCAAGAAGGTGTAGAGTTACTCAGTGTTTCTCTTGATAGATCAAATCCCGAGCAGAAAGCGAACGAAACTCAGAACGAACCGTGTGAACCTTCGAGCGATATTCAGTCTGGTATCTTAAACCAAGCAATAGAGCTTCCTTGCGCCATGGAAAAGCTTAAAATCAACTCGGACAGAGAGTTTGAAACTGCGAGAAAAAGATTCGAGGAAGCGCGCAAGACAGCAACCACTGCTTTTAGGAATGAGTCGTTTAGTATCGAAGATCGAATTTTTGCCGCGAAGCTACGAATAGTTTCAGAAATACTGGAACATCTCGATAGTCCTGAGACCGCAATCACTGGGTGTTTGTCGTTTTTGAAGAAGCTGCATAGCTTACCAGCCATTCAAGAGATATTCTCGGTGTATTTGAACGGTGGAGTCAAATCGTTGTTGAATAAAACTCAACGAGTGGAGAACGTCAAGTCGGTTATGTTAATCAACTATGTGTTGTTTCAATATGTTTGGAAATTCAGCAGCAAGTATTCGTTGGAAGTGCCCGCCTGCATGCCAACGATTGAACTTTCTGATCGTACCTTTCACCCAATAAAAAATTGGAAGGAAATTTCAACAAGAAAGTCTATGGGAGAGGATTTGCCTCATCCTCCCTACGAACAGTTCCTTGATGAAGAAATAAAACCCTACTTCTCTGCTGTGAACAGTCAGGGGGATGTTCTTACTGCCCCAGGTACTGCGTCTCGTGACCACATCATGATTGTCCAGGAGACAGGAAAAATCAAACGGGTTAAATTACCTGAATTTGCAGGTAATCTTTTAGTGCCGCTTGCTGTTGATATGAATAACAATGTTTACGTGGTGAGAAGCCGTTCAGGTGAAGGATTCATGTTGACGATATTGGACGAGAATTACAATGTAAAAGCAAATCATACATTGGATTTTCTCGTGGAAAAAAGTGTGTTCTTTTCAGTTAGGATCGCGATATGCAAAGACGATGATATTATCATCATCCGACGCGAAGATCTTCATGTGTATGTTTGTGACAAGACGTGTCAATTGAAATACAAGTTTGAACGTGACTCGAGTCGGGTGTTTTCATTGAGTATTTCCCAGCAGAATGAAATCATGATACCAACAGACGATCATACGGCGGTTCAAATATACACCAAGGAAGGAAATCTGAAGACAACAATAAAAGTCCCAGAAGATCATGAGGTATGCAGCGTCGCGTTTCACTACGAAATTTGTAAAATATTGGTTTTAACCAGAGTTAAGGAAAAAGATTCCTATTTCATTCTGTGCTACCCTGAAGCAGGCGGGGAGCTGGAGACTCTTACCTTCTTTTGTAAATATGAAAATTTCCTCCTTGACCTCATTCCCAAACTGGTATCCCATCCCAATGGTCCTGTTGTTGTTGTAACAGACAGAAGCATCACTTACCTTTAATGAGATTTAGTATGAACAAACATTTCCTGCATAAAACACAGTAAAAACTTGTCTGAAATAGTGCAACTTTGAGTTAACTAAAGCAAACAACTTTAAGACAGACAAGTGTAACTTATATTTAAATAATTTAAATAATAAAGTTTTTTGACATTTGCCAACATGGACAATAAGCTTTTAATTACATTTAAAAGAGTATGAATCCTATTTCCTATGATATAATATAGTGAAAACTTTCTTTGTTCTTGTAATAAATGATGAGGTTCTTAACATAATAAACTTATGAAACCACCCCTGGCTAAGCTTAGAGCTATGAATCATATTATTAGTGGGTATATTGATGGCTTCTATCTGCAGGGGGATACATATGCTAAGTGTGCTACAAATGCTCTTGCACAGTTGAAACATTTTACTGCCTAGATCTAGTTATCCATCCTGATAAGTCCACTCTTTCCCCTTCTCAAAAGGTAATTATCCTAGGATTTGTCATTAACTTGATAACAATGACTATCCAGGTTACAAATGAGAAAAAAGGAAAAAAAAATGTTTGATATTATTGAATGTCCAGTGTTTCAAGTTTATTCTCTTTGTAACATATACGTATATTTATATATTTACTCCCTAAACTCAGTCCAACAAATTACAACCTTTTCACTTCAAGTCTCTGTCCTTCACGCCCACTTATCAATCACAACCCTCAGGGAATTGAAAATGGCTCTTAATCCTTCATTTAAAATGCTAAAAGTCATTTTAGCTGAACTATGGTGCAAACCCGAACAATATTAATATTCTTGCATATTTAAGTGTTGCGTTTTTTTTTGAGACACACTGTATATTGACATCGATTACATGCAGTGTAGGTTTTAGTGAATGTTTTTGATCGCAAGAAGCGGCGGAAGGCCAGATTGAAAATCAGTCAGATCAAGTTGTGGACGAGCGAAAACAACAAGTCGGTATTGTTATTGAAGACACGGGAATGAAGGCGAGAGAAATATGTGTGTTGTTAACCGAGCAGAAGAGAATATAAAGATGCAGCAAGTAATGCAACAGCAGTTCATTGAGGAGATAAGAGATTGGAAGCGAACACAAACAGAATTATTAAACGAATTAAATGAGAAATTCGCGAATGAAGTTTTAATAATTAATCGTCGGTTAAGTGATTTTGAAGCGGATATTTACTGTAGATTTGACAAATTGAGACGAGAGATCATCGAAGAAGGGAAAGTTAAAGACGAAAAAGCTTTAGATATGTACTCAAGTCTTCTGGCGTCGACGATTGAGGATATGAAACAAGAAATTAAAGCGGAATTTAGTTAAGAGATTAGCAAAGACATTGATGATAAACTTTCTTGCATACAAAGTGACTCAACACCTCAAGTAATCGGGCGCGTGCGAGTAAAACTGGTTGACAACACTTTTGGAGAAATACCAAAGTTATCAAAAAAAAGAAAATCGGGCGAGTACAGTTCGAAGAGCGATACATCAATATTACATGAAGTACATAAACCAACGCAGAGACCAACAACATTTAATTATAATGGCAAAACGTCCTGGGATGAATATAGAACACAATTTGAAATTATCGCAGAAATATAAATGGCTTGGACGATCGGGAAAAGGCTGCTTTTCTTTCAACCAGTTTGCAGGGGCAAGCAGTAAACGTCTTAAATTGTCTGTCAGATTCAAGTAAGCGTGACTACAAAACTCTGTTGCAAGCATTAGATCGCCGTTACAGGACCTTGTGTCAGTCTGAATTAAATCGAGCTACTTTACGAAATAGTTTACGACGTCGCGACGAAAGCCTCCCAGAATTGGCGGGAGACATTGAAAGATTGCTTCGACTTGCATATCCTAATATCACGTCAGAAATGTTTGAAGCCTTGGCTGAGGATCATTTTGTGGATGCGGTGCTTGACGACGAGATTCGCTTACGAATTGCGCAGAGCAGACCACTATGAAACTACACTGCGGCAGGCCTTCGAAATTGCCTTGAAGTTAGAGTCGTTCGCACTGGCCAGCAAACGACGGTCGTGGTATGTGCGCGAGATCCGAATTGAAGAACCCCGAGACCAAACTCGATAACCAAAACCACTCCGTGGAAGAGTATGATGGATCAACTAAATGAATTAACAAAAGAAATGAGAAATTTCACCGGGAAAATGGACAGACAGCCAGACATGAATACAAGGTTTAAACAGATCAACTTCACCTCCGCGAAAATGCTGAACGTGTCGTGGGAATGACTTGCAGAAGGAATGCCCTGATCACCATCGATCAAGAATGAATCAACCCATTAATGAAAACGAAGAGAAAAACTGGGAACAGAGAAATCGACCACTTGAAGGAAATCTCGAAAATCGTCGCCAAGAATTGCGGAATGATCGCAGAAGTGCGTCAACAGAGCGGAATACGCGAATTCAGGAAAACGGAGGGTAGCTGGGTGGGCAAGGGGTCTGGATCCAGCTAATAAACACGCGAAAGAAACGCGCGAAAGCCTGCTCGTAAACAACGATAGCGGACAACAAAGCAGTGACGTTGGTGCAAAAGAAAGAGAGAGAGAAAGTCAATTGATAAACCGCGACAATCTTGTTGCACGAATATGTGATTCTGGAAAGACAGTTTTCGAACAAATTAGTAAGGAGGCTTACTAATTTAGCAAGGCTCCCATTAAGACCTATTTAGTTGGAGCATCAATCGAAAGAATCTGCGTAGACATCTACCGAAATCAGAAGAAGGAAACAAATATCTGCTGGTATGCATGGACTAGTTTACCAAATGACCCGAGCGTATCCGATTACTGCATTCGTTTGTTCATTCATTCGTTCGTTCATTTGAGCCGAGCTCAAACTCTTGGCTGAGCTAACAACCTCAAGAGACAGTCGAAACTCTCTGCAGAGAAAAACTTCACAAACTACACACACTTAAAGTTTGTTACATTACATCTGATACCTGTCTGTCGACATGCTGGATTTTGATTTTGAAGAGCGAATGTTGTATTGTAATTATTTTATCCATGTTCTGGTATAACACGAGTTTACTCGCAAGGTTTTGATAAGCAATTATTCTGGTGAGAGCTAACTCAACTGATGATGTACAACTCTTTCATTCCTTGTAGATAACTGTGATTTTACGCGTGGTAAATATTGTCATTGGGTCCGTGATAAAAACCAGCGCTGCTATTGACAAACAAAGAGAAGATTGAGACAATCCAGGAAGACTGGACCCAGTCGAGACCACACTACAGACTCAGGTATGAAATAAGAGTGATCTCATGACAACCATCATTATTATGAATAGTCATTAACCTCATTACTCTACATCGCTTCCATCATTGTCCATGATTGCCAATTGTTATCCATCGATGCACAAGATTATCATCTTCAATTATACGTAACGATCCATCGTTATCCATGAAAATGTACCAGATCTGGTCACACTGACTTCAATATTTACAGGTACCACAGTTTCCTCCCTCAACGACGACCAACGCAAATCCGTAACACTGGAAGCAATCAAGACCACACAACTGGCACTGGTAAGAAATAGAAGTGATTCATCATCACCATTTCTCATCATCATCACCGTGCAATAACACGGGGTATCTTTACCCTATCTATCTATATCTTTGTCCATCATTGTCCATCCGCATCCACAATCGTCTATTGTTATCCACCAAGCACATAATCATCGTCGTTTACCTTAATTATACAGTATATGATATAAATTATTCATTTTTTCCCAAAAAGCAAACGTCTTGCAATTGCGTGGTAATAAGCTTTGACAAATTTTATTGTTATACGAGTTGCAGGCGGAAGGGAAGGAGTCGGGCAGATGCGGGTTATCAGCTTGTTGCGCAAACTTTCCTGTTAAACTTCAATTGTGCTTTAGTTACCGTGAATGAAACCTATTTCTATCAGTCTTTCTCATTACTCCGCCTGCGTATGCGCAGCGGAGTCTTAAAATGCCATGGTCTTTTTTCCTTTTAGTAGTAGTCGTAGTAGTCGTAGTTTTGGGCGACAGAAGTTGGCATTTCTACAGGTAACCCAAAACATTTTGACCGAGAAGCCCTGGGTTACACGGATGAATACGGATGAATTACAGTTGGCATTTAGGGAGGTTTTGGGTTGATTTTGTGCAATGTTTATTTTTCTTCGTGGCCTTGTGCCTCGTGTTTGAATCGAGGTTCTTTCGTTGTGAAAATTGAAAAATATGAATGTCGAATTGAAAGAGCTTTCAGAACCATGTTCAACAACTACAAGGGTAAGTTATTAAGATTTAGATTGTATTCATATGCTGTGGCGGTAATTGCATATTAGTATACCCAAGATTTTCTGTTTTATAGTTGATTTAGTGATTCACGTTGACGTAGTGTTTTAATACAAACTAGGTATATACAAAGTACTGTTTGCTCTCAGAAATTATACATACTACAAGTTTAGCGACCCTGCATGTTTAAGAATTCGATATTTCTATTTACTAGAGTCTATTTTAAAGCCGGTTTGATAAAATGCCTCAATTCGGCAATGAATTTTTATATGAAACATGTTTCTTTGCAATTGGTTTCACAGAATCAAAAATGGCCAAGTTGTGTCGTATTTCAGATTACACCAAGATATTCTTTTATCACAAATATAAATGTATTATTACAAAGCCTGGTCGAATTGTAATCAGTACCCAACATTTTGACAGTCCAGTCTACTGTCTTCATCAGGGGTGATCTAAAGCTGGAATCGAAGCTTCTTAAATAACCAAGGGATGATGTCACCTGCCAATGAGATGCATATATTCCTTTGGCAAATCGCCACCGTCATCCTTATTCAGAGCATGATTACTCATCTTTATATTCCACGCTTCTATGCAAAGTCTTTGACCATATTGATTGTTAGTGGTAATTACTTTAGAGTTTTTCCTTGGCAGAGCACCTGTGTGACATGAAACACAAGATTGCATGGGAAAACTCTAAAGTAATTACCACTAACAATTGATACATGGTCGAAGACTTTGCCTAAAAGCGTGGCATATGAATATGAGTAATCATGCTCTGAATAGGGATGACAGTGCCCATTTGCCAGAGGAATATATGCATCTTATTGGCAGGTGACATCATCCCTTGGGTATGATCACTTCTGATGAAGACAGTAGACTGGACTGTCGAAACGTTAGGTCCTGATTACAATTTGACCAGGCTTTGTGATCATTTATATAAACCAGAGTAGCGAGTGATAACAGGGTTAAAAGGGGTTCCTATCACAGAATTGATTTGCCAAACTTATAAAACCCTATTTTTGTTCTAATTTCCAGGTTTTGGTGCTCATTTGCAGGAAGTTGCAAAAAAAAATTTATGTCCCTGAGTGTGAATTCCATGAATGCACATTTGAATACCAAGTCACATTCGAATACCAAGTCACATTTGTATACCAAGTCACATTTGAATACCAATTTAAGTCACCTTTGAATGCCAACTTAACTTTGAATGCCAACTTACCTTTGAATGCCAACAATGAAGTTACAATGAATAAAGTTATATTAATTAATAAAGTTACATCTGTAAACAAAGTTAAGCAACTGAATGAAGTTACATCATTATAATAAAATAAAGTTACATCAATGAATAAAGATGCATCAATCAATGAATAATTTCATATTAATGAATACAAAATGTATAACAAAAAATCCCAAAAGTATGACAGACAACAGTACAAAAAGCAAAATCACCTCATTTTGTGACCTTTTGTCACCTGTAGTTCTTCACCTGCAGGCGGAGTAACGCCTTGAGCAGGCGTCTTGTTAAATCTAAATTACATTTAAACTACTAGATCATATTCTGGTATTATTCATTCACGGACATGCGTAACAAGCTCTCCTAACACATTTATTTATGCTTTTCTTTTCTTGATTTATCGCCCAGGTTTGATTTTAGAAATAATTGCAGTGATTTCTGTCGTATTTCTTCAATCTTTAGTTTTGTGTGATAGTTCAGCGATAAATAAAGACTATCGTACAGCCTTAAGGCGCATATAACCGATCATACTTTCTGCCCTCCCATGTGCATTTTAAGAGTTTAAGTTGGTCTACGTCAGGTTAAACAAAGAAATTTCAGAGAGAAAAAACGCGTACTGGCGAGAGAAGCGATTTCGGTTTGTTAGTCCGAATTTCTTGCAAGATTTTTTCACAAATACTGTTGTTGGTTTTCATGACTAATTTATGAATTCGGTAATGTAAGGTCAAGTATCTATATATTGTTAATTTTTATATGCCTAATTTATGTACTTTTGTAAATACCTATAGCCTTAACTTAGTTCGGTTGAAACTGTGTTTTGTTCAACTACGAACACGCAATGATTTCATCTCGCTCGTGTCTATAACTTTTCCTATAAAACTTGGCTCGTGCAGTGACATAAGACTAAAGTGAAATACAACTGTGATATTTATATACGAGATCGCTCCCAGATATATTGTAGACGATGTAAGCAAGGTAATTCTATACTGTAAACTTCAACAACCTTCATATCTCGCCTGTTTCTCATGTGACGAAGTTCCCGGAAGAACGTAGATAAAAACATCGTTAGGAATCATAAGATTGAATGTGTTTGAGCATATTCACCAGTGTTTAGTCAAAATTTAGCCTTAATTCTGTGCTTCAGTACACAAACTCGGTATGTCTTCAATTGTGACAAGTATTCTCAGTTCAACAGTTGGTTTATTATGGAATAAGGTCAGAGACTCGACGGCAGACAAATTCAAAGACGGCGATGTAACCGATGCAGAAATTCGTAAGTTTGTCGTACGAGAGTTAAATGATATCAAGTCTAAAATCGATGGCCTTTCTAGATCAACTTTACTCGCCAGTTATAATTCGTTAGGAGAAGGAGTGGAGTTTCTCCGTGATTCTCTTGATAAATCAAATCCTGAGCAGAAAGCGAACGAAACTCAGGACGAAGCAGGTGAACCTTCGAGCGTTATTCAGTCTGGTATCTTAAACCAAGCAATAGAGCTTCCTCGCGCCATGGAAAAGCTTAAAATGAACTCGGACAAAGAGTTTGAAATTGCGAGAAAAAGATTCGAGAAAGCGCGCGACAGAGCAGACACGGCTTTCTGGAATGAGGCATTTAGTATCGAAGATCGAATTCTTGCTGCGAAGCTACGAATAGTTTCAGAAATACTGGAACATGTCGATAGTCCTGAGACCGCAATCACTGGGTGTTTGTCGTTTTTGAAGAAGCTTCATAGCTTACCAGCCATTCAAGAGATATTCTCGGTGTATTTGAACGGTGGAGTCAAATCGGTGTTGAATAAAACTCAACGAATGGAGAACGTCAAGTCGGTTATGTTAATCAACTATGTGTTGTTTCAATATGTCGGGAAATTCAGCAGCAAGTATTCGTTTGAAGTGTCCGCCTGCATGCCAACGATTGAACTTCCTGATCGTAGTTTTCACCCAATAAGAAATTGGAACGAAATTTCAACAAGAAAGTCTATGGGAAAGGAATTGCCTCATCCTCCCTACGAACAGTTCCTTGATGAAAAAATAAGACCCTACCGCTCTGCTGTGAACAGTCAGGGGGATGTTCTTACTGTCCCTGGTACTGGGTTTAGTGACCACATCATGATTATCCATGAGGCAGGAAAAATCAAACGGGTTAAAACACCTGAATTTGCAGGTTATATTTTAGTGGCGCTTGCTGTTGATATGAATAACAATGTTTACGTGGTGAGAGAACGTTCAGGTGAAGTTTTATTCATGTTGACGATATTGGACGAGAATTACAATGTAAAAGCAAATCATACATTGGATTTTCTCAAGGATTTTACTCTAGCTAAGATCGCGATATCCAAAGACGATGATATTATCATCATCCAACGCAAAGACCCTCATGTGTATGTTTGTGACAAGACGGGTCAATTGAAATACAAGTTTAAACGTGACTCGAGTGAGGCATTTTTATTGAGTATTTCCCAGCAGAATGAAATCATGATACCAACAGACGATGATACGGCGGTTCAAATATACACCAAGGAAGGAAATGTGAAGACAGCAATAAAAGTCCCAGAAGATCATGAGGTATGGAGCGTGGCATTTCACTACGAAATTTGTAAAATATTGCTTTTGACCAGGGTTAAGGAAAAAGATTCCTATTTCATTCTGTGCTACCCTGAAGCAGGCGGGGAGCTGGAGACTCTTACCTTCTTTTGTAAAGATGATAATGAGTGTGATACCTATCTGGTATCCCATCCCAAGGGTCATGTTGTTGCTGTAAGAGGCAGAAGCATCACTTACCTTTAATGAGATTTAGTATGAACAAACATTTTCTGCATAAAACACAGTAAATACTTGTCTGAAATAGTGCAACTTTGAGTTAACTAAAGCAAACAATAGATGCAGCATGGTTTATATAATTTGTGAGACTTTGCTGAATTACGTCCCATTAAAGTGTTCCTGTTTCTGTTATAAGAGAGACAAATAAGTGTAACTTATATTTAAATAATTTAAATAATAATGTTTTTTGACAATTGCCAACATGGACAATAAGCTTT